ATGCACAGGGAGACAGCTCAGGGGGCAGGAGTCCATGGAGGGATGGACACTGGGAAGAGGTAACTATGGGGAGGAAGTGGGAGGGAAGCTGTTGCATTGTGGTAAACTGTGATCAATGTCATGAGACAAAGTATATGTAAACTGCTTTATATAAAGTGAATTTGCTCTGTAAATCTTCACCCAAATCACAATAATAAAAAGAAAAAAAAAAGTGCTCTCCTGCTAACCAACAGGTTGTCAGTTAAACCCACCAGCTTCTCTGCGGGAGAAAGATGTGGCAGTCTGCTTCCATAAAGATTCACAGCCTTGGAAACGTTATGGGGCAGTTCTACTCTGTCCTGTAGGGTTGCTCAGAGTCAATGGACTCGACGGCAGTGGGTTTGGTTTTGTTTTTGGTGGTGCAAATGGCTAAAGCATTCAGCTGCTAACCAAAAGTTTGGAGGTCGAGTCTACGCAGAGGTGCCTCGGAAGACAGGCCTGATGATCTGCTTCTGAAAATCAGCCACTGAAAACCCTGTGGAGTACAGTTCTGCTCTGACACATACAGGGCCACTGTGGGTTGGAATGAACTCCTCCAACCTTTCTGTTAACAGTCAAGACGTTAACTGTTTACACCACCTAGGAACAGTTATTTAGTACTTTATCTGTATTTTAAAAGATACATGGCATGACAGGCCTTTGGGGTAGAGGTTTTAATTCTAGATTTCTTTTATTTACATTTCTCCTCAAATTTGTCTGCTGTCATCGTGAGGTGTCATTGAGTTGATTCTGACTCATAGTGACCCTATGTGACAGTAGAACTGCCCCATTGGGTTTTCTTGGCTGTAATATTAAAAAACCTTTTGTTATGATTTGAGTGGAAGTGTACAGAGCAAATAAGTTTTTCATTTAGCAGTTCACACACATTTTGTTTTATGTCATTGATTGCAGTCCCTTCAATGTACACTATCCTTCCTCACACTTCCTGTGTTTCTTATTTCCATTCCTCCTCCTCTCCTAACCTTTCCTGCCTTCTGAACTTTATCCATAAGCAAGTACTGCACTTTATTTTTTTTTTAATTGTGATTTGGTGAAAATTTACAGAGCAAATTTACTTTCCATACAGCAGTTCACATACACGTTGTCTCATGACAATGACCAAAATTCACCAAATGCAACAGCTCCCCTCCTACTTCCTCCTGATAGTTACTTCTTCCCTGTGTCCATCCCTCCATGCACTCCTGTCCCCTGAGCGGTCTCCCTGTGCATAAGCAGCCCTTCTTTCTCCCATCATTATTCTCTCCAAGGAGTGTATCTACCTCAGGTAAATGTTCAACTCATATGCCTGTCTATTGTTTGGCTGGAAGCCACAGGCGTGCGTTCAATTCCAGACCTGAAGGGCAGCTAGGGGCCATAGTCTCAGTGGTTCCACTAAGACCAGCAAACCTGGTCCCCTCTTACTTTTT